TGTTCACCTCTATTGTCCCTAGAGCAGGGCAACTGCACATGTCCATTCATGACTAGTGTCTTGACCCCACTGTTAGGGGGAATGGATTTTCTGAATGAACTCTGTAGATATAGGTTTTGTGGACTCCACCCCTTACTCCAATCATTGAAACTACTACTCGCAGGACCCAAGGGCAGAGCTAAGCAACCATTGTGAGAATTTTGGGATATATAGAGACACATTGATCTGAGGGTCTCTCTCCCTCTCGCCCTTGGCTTTGTGGCTGGTGGCTGGTGGCTTGGCTCTTGAGCAGTTTTCAGGCTGCTATTGGGGTTCCAAGTCAGCAGTAGGATGTACTAGCTAACTTCTCTCTCTCTCTCTCTCTCTCTCTCTCTCTCTCTCTCTCTCTCTTTCTCTCTCGCTATATTTTTCCCTGGGTTGTTCCTTTTCTTTCCCTTTGTAAATAAATCCATTGTTGACCTTTTTGTGTGCGCCTGTAGTGCAACTGATTCTTAAGTGCAAGGTTGAGGACTCACAGACAGGCAACCTAGTTCGTATTGGGTTGCCCTGCAGCACAACTAGTAGCTTTCACGCTCAAAAGTGCCCAGCTTGAAGTTTGATAAATTACAAGATCATTCTCCCTATTACCACTGTCTTTCTAGGAAACATCTTGTTAAAAGGCACAGATTGCTACATCTTTCAGAAAAAAGGTTACCAAGATGTTTTTACAATGACATCCCAGGAGTGGCCACAAAGTAAACAGACAAAAGAATTGGGAGGGGGTGTTGCAGCAGACATGGTTCATTTTCACTGTTTCTCTTCCACCATCTCCAGGGTAACGCAGATTGAAGTGGGGACTTGAGACCATGAACGCAGGAAATAGAAGACATCTGTGATTGCACTTCCTACTTAAAGATGCTCATCTAGGTGACCTGAGTTCTCTCAGGCTAGCAGATAATATTATTTCAGTGGTGAAATGAGTCTTCTTATTAATGGTGTGTGAACTATACACATGATGACTGAGTGCAGCTTGTAAGATGAAACTTTCTCAGGTGCTGTGGCTAAGTAAATATTGACTTGCCCCAGTGCCTGTGTGTAAGGTGAACAGATGGGAGTTCAGCCAGAACAGAGCTGCTTGCCCAGTGAGCTCACCATCATTATTGCCATTCCCCAAGTCAGTGTTCTAATTCTTACCAGAAATCACCCAATGTTGACAGAAGAAATGCCTTCGCTGCTGGGAAACACGTATAGAACATTGGGATGAAGAATGAAAAGCACAAAAGGCTTTGCTTCTAGACTTGACAGCTCACTTTAAATTTGAACTTTAAGTAATTTTAACACATCTTATCAATAAATCCAGTTTAATATATATTTATCAATATTAGCTAAGTATATCAGATTTTACATTTTAAGTGAAGTGGTAGGGATTCAGGAGGTAAATTCCATCTCATAGGGGTGGGGTGGGGTCATACAAAAATTAAAGCTTACTGGAGGTGGTTTATATTTTGCTAAAATATTTCCATTCTTAACTCCCCTACTTGAATAAGACTGCACATCCCATGGTGACAAGCACTTTGTCAGTTCCCTACACAGTTCTATCACTGTGACCCAGAATAATTCCTGACATAGTAAATGTTAAATAAAAGTTTACTGAACGTGTTAACTCCAGGCTAGATGATATTCTGAGTGCCCCAAATAATGATAATTTTGTTGGCATATTTTAAAATTATTTTTTCTTGGTCTCCAATTTAAAAACCAGAGGCTTCATTTTCCTTCATTAAAAGGTCTGATTACCTTTTATCTCAACACAATGTTCAAATTACCAGTAATTTTATCAATCTTCTATCAGAAATTCCCTCTTTATGATGGAAATTTTCAACTAAAAAATGTATTTTTTAATTGCTCTCTCTCTGGCATATATCACTATCTCTCTCTCTCCTAGAATTATAAAAACCAACTGATAAACTAAAAACCTTACAAGTCACCATGTCTGTTTTCACTCAATGTCAAAAGTAACATTGGTTAACATCACACCAAACTCTGTAGAAAAGTCTTCAAATATATAGGAATTTGTCAAGTTCAATGTAATTTGTCAAAATTTTAATTTTCACTTGAAAGCTGAAGTCTTACCAGTACCAATACCTCTACAGTTCTTTTAAAGTGACAGGCTCATTTTGCTTTCATGCTGATAGCTGCCAAAATCCAAGACTGAAAGGCCATAGCCTGCTGGATATTTTTGTTTCAAAAATGATATTCCATACACAAGCAGCAAATTCAGCTCCCAACTCAAACTCACACAAGTGCTTTTCCTGAAGATTCCCACTGTGCTGAGCAGTTAAATGCTGATGTACACACCCCATTTTGTCACACAGAATATTAAAAAGATATGTACTCAAAGTTTGAGGATTAATGAAATCAATCACTTTCCTGGCTTCGTCAAGGACATTCCTAAGTAAAACTGATGAGTCTCCAGAGTCCTGATCACGCTGTATATATAAGAAGCAACTTGTTAGGCTCACCCCAACGACTTCTGGGACAACGCCCCTGCCTCAAACCATTTATGTCACCCCCTACCTACATAATGGTCTCTAAATTTTTTTAATTGTCTGTTCAATCTGTTTTTGTTTAATGATTGTTTGTGATAGTGACATTATAAATATTCAGAATAGCCTATGTGGGCTGGTTGTAACCTCCCCAAATGATACACAAGAGAAATGAAACAGAGAATAAATGTTTTAATTTGCAATTTGCAAAATGCTGTTGGCGGCATTAATTGATATTCAGTTCTATCAGAGACAACAATAAAACTGCTCATGTCACTAGTTCCAAGGGATTCAAAGGAGGAAGGACAGTTCTCAAGGAAGCAGCCCTAGGAAAGTAAGAGGTCTATCAATCACGACTAGCCACCCCACCTTGGGGTTTCAGCCACACCCCTCCCTGACCATAGGCTTGACTGTAAGTCCTGTGAGCTGAGGACAAACACCACTTAGGACCACTTCACCTCCCTGCCACCTCAGACTTGCCCACCTTCTTAATAATCTCTACTAGCACCAATGAGGTCACACTTCAATGAGCTGGGCTCCACATATTTCTGGGGCTACCTGTTATTAGTCAGAGAGATTATTACGACTTAGAAGTGAGCATTTAAGTTCTAAAATATTATGTTTGCTACATGATCAAAGGTCAAAGTTATCTCTATTTTCAGGTGAAGAAGTGAAAACTACTGACTACCTTTTGTTATCATTTTCTTCAGCATTTCTAAAAGGTTTCTATTACCTTGCCCTATTGGCTTGACTACACTGCTACACTAAACAGAATATGGCATTGCACAAAAATACAGACAGTGAGGCAAAGAAAAAGATATTATACCATGGGATAAACACAGGAAAAATGTACTGAGGGGCCTAACACTGCTCAGAGAGCACAGCTCCCATCCTGCTCCCATGGGGACACACCTGTCACTCCATGCCACAGTCATCTTATTACTGGAAAACATGTTATAGAAAACTCATATGCTAAGAAAAAAAAAAGTTTTAAACCTATGGGTACTCAACGAGTTCCAAAAAACCCCTAATTTATTTTCTTTACAATACACCTTATTTTTACTCTCATAAAGCTTCTCAGCTTCCATCTTCTATGATATTTCATGCACATTAAATGATCAGCAGTTTGTTTCACTGATTTTGTTCAGAGCTATATATTATAAAAGAGTTTAGAAAGAATTATATGTGTGGACTTGGTAATGAACCAAGATAAAACAAAACCAAGTGAAACATTGAGGTTTAAACTATGAATGCAGTATATTAGCATTGGCTATTTGTTTAAGGCATTTAGAAAGAAAAGTTGAAGACAGCATAATAAGTCACCGGAGATATAAATCATACCTTGGACTTGCCTTTAAGAGTCTAAAACAACAGATAATTTAAAATCTAGCCTTTAATAAACAATGCCCTTTTCACATTCTTTCTCTTCTCCTATAATCAGATAAAATAGCCAAAATAAGTAAATTCCTTTCCATCCTCAAAACTACGCAATTAGTATGATTCATCCTCTGATCTAGAGGGTGATTCCTTTGAAAAACATACAGTGGCTCTTATGATCACTGTCTTAACTTTAAAAAATCTATAAAAGTTAAAATATTGATAAACAACTAAAAAGGTAACACAGAAAAGAACTTCAAAGATCAGCCCAATCACTCTTTTATAGATGCAACAACTATCAGCCCAGGGAGGGAGGTTAAGAGATTTGTAAGAAATCATATTAATAGTTGAGCTAGGATTGAAAGGAACCCAGCCACAGACACTTCCTCCCATCCACCAAGGTGACCCTTCCTGCTTCTGAAATAATGTGTAGGGTTCAGTCCCCTTATTCTGGCAAAGTCAGACAGAGAGAACTGCTGACAAAGGAAACTGACCACAGCAGGCATGTAAAGCAGTGGCCTGGGGCAGTGGGCTGGTGGCAGGAGGGTTTGCCCAGGGTTTGCCCTCATGCCATGTCAGGAACAGGACTGCATCGGGGACTCTTCCCGTTCTCTGGCGTTTACATATTTCCACATGGTGTTCCATGGCAGAACACCAAAGCCATGATGCATCGGGTGACAACAGACTTTGGAGTCATCGAGAAGCCTCTCCAACCTTGCACAGACCGAAAATGTGAGCCAGTCACCTTATGTTGTGGAGGTTCTGTGGATGCTCCAGACGAGACAGCTGAGCCTTCTCTGTGACAGGACAAAGAGTGCTCACAAAAATGCTGGGGCTGACCCTCAGAACAGCACAATCAGGGCCCTCCCTAGTGGTGCAGGGAGTTAAAGCGCAGCACTGCAAAGCTGGCCAAGGCCGCTTCGGTGCAAATTCGATCCTAGCCCTGGAGGTGACCCACATGGCCTGGCAGACCTCTCCTGTCTCACCCGCTGCTCCCGTCAGCAGTGTACTTCATCAATCTGTTCTGCTCCTCAGTCTGACTCTGGTGAGTCTTCTCACCATTCCTGTACCTCTGGCCTGTACCCCAGTACCTCTGGCCTGTACCCCAGTTCTATATGCATTAAAAAAAATAATAATAACAGAACAATCAGCTTCAGCACCTCCACTCTCATAATCTTCAAACCTCAGGTTGTCTAGCCCCAGTCATGATTCTTGTTATTATTCTGCTCAGCAGTGTAAGGGTCAGCTGGCAACTCTCAGTAATCAAATCACACAAGAGGGAAGTGTCCCTTCACTAGTCATTCCTCTTTTGGGGACAAACTAGGGTAGAGGATAAGGTAAGACGAAAATAGGAAAGGTCAGAGAGATGTCTGAATGTGGAGTCAAAGTTGGAAACGCATATGTTCTTTTGACTGGGAGAGTATGTAGTGGATCCCTCTCACAGCTTTTATTACTCACTTATATCCCTGGGAACCAACAGATGGAATCTTTTATTGCCAAGTTCTAATGCATTTCATGTTTGTGATGGGTTTGCCAAATACCAAAACTGCAGATAGTGATTTGAGTATCAAGAATCTGCTACTAATCGTCTGTCTCCCTCAAAGCAGTTAAACATTCAACCTGCATTTGGTGAATTTCCACAAAAGGCAGTAGGTACGTGGGACCATGTGTAAACTGCAGGTAACCAATGTCCACTGGAAATATTTACTTATTTTTTTAGTATAAAAAATAGAGGTAACCCCTAAGGGTAATTCATATATATAATGACATGTGATAGGGCTCATTATGAGTACTGTAGCAATACATTCTTACCCTAAAGGATAGTCAAGAGAATAGCTATTATATTCAGATATTAAGGCAACCTAGAAAATAAACCTTAAGAAGATGCTAAATGTTATCATTCTAATACTTTTTTAAAATCAGTCCTTGAATACGAGGGTCCAAAAGTCTTGAGCTGAAAAGTTTTGATTCCTATCAACCAGCCATCTTAGTGCCTGGGCTTCTTTCTTGGATTGCTGGAAGCTTGGTATCCACATCTCTCGCAAAGAGCTCCAACGTGGAGCCGAAGGTGAGAAAGCAAACACAGTAGGCTCCGGGCAACTCAGGTGGGTAGCCTCTGCCTTCCATCTTTTGGGTGGTAAGCCCTGCGTTGAAAAAAGGGGAAACTAATGAAAAAAAACCATGATATGGAAGCAGAAATCCCATGTCCCTGCCAGGCAACAACAGAACCCAGCACACACCAAGTATCTTAACTTCATACCATTGCAATAGTTTTAATGGAGAATAGTGAAAGAAGAAACTACTCTATATTCCTTGAGACTACTCTGAGCATGAGATACTTTGCGAAATCACATAAATCACTTAATTCTTACGGCAAATACATTAAATAGGTAACCACTAACCCATTTTACAGAGGTGGGGATGGACTCAGGTTCCACAAAGACCCGGGAGACACCAGACACTCCTGAAGTTAGGACAAAGGCCACAGGTTAAGTAGAATTAAGAGGGTCTGTGAAAGCAGTACTCAGATTCCTTCCTAAACTTACCTGATTTATTCTGTGGAGAAATAAAACACTCTAGACCTTTGACTTAGAGAAAGAGGTGAAGCTGAGGACTGGTGTGGCACTGAAAACAGAAGGATGGAGTGAGCCTGTAAATGGTAGATACTGAGGCCTTCGTATACCTCCTATGCCGAGAGCCAGGCCTTATTATCCAGGAAGGAATACAAAGGGTCTTTCTCTGGGAATGTGATATGTCAAGGAGGACGTAAGTCATTAGGAAATCACCTAGCCAGATCACCCCACAATGAAGCTCGGAGCTGGTGTCCCCACTCATCTTCTGAGCATACCATCAGATGACTAACACGAGCTGGTTACCAAGATGACAGAAACACTGAGCAATATTTGAGAAAATTTCAAATGAAACTACCTAACACCTTTACAGATGTAAAAAATAAAACATGAGAAATAATCAGATGCCAGAAAAATGTATACAGAAAGAACACAAAAATTGAAACATTAGAAATTAGATCTATAACAGCAGAAATTAAAGAATCAATAGAGGGGATGGAAGAGAATCTGTGGTATATGTCATAGAAAGGAAGAAAAAGAGAAAGAAATGGAGAAACATTTGAATATGCACCTTCTGTATTGGTTCCTTAACATTGAAGGACTCATATCAGATAAGTGAGATACAAGTATTTCAGAAAAGAGAGCAGGAAGTAAAGAATATCCAAGGAAATAGTTGATTTCCCAAATTGAGGAGATATGTTTCAGATAAAAGGGTCAACAAGATCTCAGCATAGTAAATTATTATAAATAGTCTCTTGACAGAGTGCATTTTTATGAAAGTTCAGAACATTAGGACGAAGGTAGAGATTCTTCAACCTCCCTGTGCAGAAAAATTCAATTCTGAGGATTAGGAGTTACAATGACATCGTGTTTCCTGACAATACAGTAGAAATTCAAAGGCAAATGTGAGCTTCATTGATGAGTGTTAACATAAATGAGTAAAAAAATTTTTAAATATTTATTTATGCGTACAGAACTGGGGCACAGGCCAGAGGTGCAGGGGTGGTGAGGAGATTCACCAGAGACAGAGTAGGGAGCAGAACAGCCTGACTTATGAAGTACACTGTCGAGGGGAGCAGCAGGCAGGTCAGGAGAGGTCTGCTGTGCCATGTGGTCACCTCTGGGGAGAAGGAGGGGATCGAATTCATGGATGTCTTTAGCTTCTTAGTGCTGTGCTTTAACGCGCTGTGCCACCAGGGAGGGCCCAACTGAGTAAAATTTTAAGGAGAAAAAAGATATCTGTTGTAAAGTGGTAGCTTTAACTTATATCCACTATCATTTCTAAAGAAGATGAAGCTTAATTCCTTCCTTTTCATGTGAGGTGAATTTAGTGAATCACTTGATGGAAAGGGAAAATTATTAACTTCCTAGTGGAAAAACCTAGAAAACACCACATTACCACGTGATCAAAGTTAACATTACCAGTAACATGCCATTGCTGACATCATGTGTGCTCCAGGCAACATGATGAGAAGGGCCCTTTCACCTCTGTGACATGATTTCCCAAAACCCATTGCTCAAATCTTAACATGGAAAACAGCAGGTAAGCCTACGAAATGACATTCTACAAAATACCAGCTAGCACTCTTCCAAAGTGTCAAAGTTATTAAAATTAAGGAAAGACTGAACACCTGTCACAGATATACGAAAACTAAGGAGACATGACAGCAAAATATAATCTGGTAACCTGGATATGATCCCAGAACAGATTAAACACAGTGAAAGCTGCTGGACAGCTGTTAATGAAAAAGCTGTTAGGACAACATGTGTAGCTTAGTTCACAGTGTGTGCCAACTATTAATTTCTCAGTGTTGACAGATGTGCCATGGTTTTATAATATGTGACTAGTAGGGGAAGCCAGGTGAGTGGAGGAGCGGAACTCAGTACTATCTTTGTAACTCTTCTGTCAAACTAAAATTATTTCAAAATTAAACAAACAAAAAAATTGTTTAAGGTAATGGCAAAGTTCCTCCAAATTCTGGAAAAAAAATAACTGATATCCATGTTTTAATTTACACTCAGCTAAACTATTGCTTAAATGTTAGAGTAGGATGCAGACATTTCAGACATTCTGTCATGCACCCCTTTTATTAGGAAGCTGAGAGTCTGATCATCCAAAGCAGGGGTGTAGACTAAGACAAAGGAAGAGTAAGCATATAGGAAACAGAGGTGACAACTCAAGAGCAAAAGACAAGAGAGGAAATCCCAGCGTGCTGGAGAACATCAGCCTGAGATGTTCTATTCCTGCTGGAATAGGTCAGAAAGTTCCCAGATGGTTTCTCTAGCAAGATGAAATAAATGGAAACCTAGTATATCTGAACATCTTCAAAGGAGATTTAAACACTAAACAAGGATTGAATTATGGATAATACATAGAAAAATAATCAAGTGAGAAGATCATTAAGTAGGAAGAAACAAAAGACTATACAGACAAGGGAAACAAATCATCGAGTATTACATAGTACATCTCTGAATAACAGTTATGTAGTCATAATCACAAATACTGAATATAAAAAATAGTGTATAACAATCAGGTTATTTAAAAACATTAAGTATATATCAAAATAATTATCTAAACATGTTCATATATGGTTGCTTCTGGAGAGGAAGTGAAAGGAAAGAAGACTTTTTTTGAGTAGCTTTGCATAACTATTTGATACTTTAACCTATGTACATATATTTATCTTTTTCTAAAAAAAAATGTTTTTTAAGGTGATGATAGTACGGTAATGTGTTTGGATTTGTAATGAACAGAATCTTCAGCTATCCCAAATTTAGAAAACAGAGTAGAAAAATCAATTTGGAAATACAGCAATTCTGTTATCTACAAATGATTGAATGAACACATTCTCTTTTCCTTAAAACTTCCATAGGAAACATCTGAGAAGATACTAGGGATAACTAGTCTGGAAAGGTAACTGTGAATATGCATAATGTATCTTCAAGCACCTGAAAAGGCTATAAGTGGATGAGTGAATTAGCTTGCTTGACAGAGCGTGAGGGATAGCATTACTCAAAATCTCCCTTCTCTTAGGAAAAACTGATCATGGAGTTTGACTTCCAAGGACCTGGAACTAGAGCAATGATTTACTACCAAGTCAACACTGAGCACAGAAAATCAAAATACAAATACAAACAGCAAACCATTGAGAAACACTAAGGTTTAAATTTGGTAAGTCTATGTACCAAAGTCCAAAGGACTAGACAGAGGGAGTTCTAAATTGAAGTTACAAGAGCCAGAGTTTTACACTCTGGTCAGAGTTCAAGTCCATGAATACAGACCATTTGGAGCAGGAACAGAACAGAATGAAGTAAGGAAGTTTCAAAATGATTACCACTAAAAACTTTCAGGAAGTCATTGTTTTTCTTTATTAAAGTTGCAAGACTATGTGATGCTGAATTAGGAATCAGAAGCAAGGAGGTAAAAATCAACTACAGAAAAGGAAATGTGAGTTCAATACAAAAAAAAAAAAACTAACAAAAGATAAAATAAGCTACCTTTGAAATAAGGAAATCACCACCGGAAATGTTTCCAGACAAATGAACAATAACTTTCCTGTGATACTTGAATTCGCCACATAACCTTCTATCAATGGCCACATAACCTTCTATTGCTTACCCAGCCTTGCTTGTGCATAACTCTTAATACAAGAAAAATCAGTTATGATACCCTGTTTCTTGCCTGCCCACTCAGGAGTCCATTCAATGGTGTGGGGGTAAAGTTCCATCTGTTCTGATGTCACAGAAAAAACAATCATATGAAATGGATTCTTGTAATCCTAGTGTTCTTCCACAAATATTTCACAGTATGACCTGAAGAAGTGTAGCTGATGAAATAACTGACACTTTTTTTTTTTTGCTTTAATCTGCTGTGCCACCAAGGAATTGACACTTTTTAAAGTTATAAAGTTTTAGCATCCCAAATTGTCTTTTCCAGTTGAGGTCCTGAGCAGAAAAACAAGCTGTTTCTAAAGTATGATTCATAAATATTTTACTTCCAAAGAGAACATAGTTCCTAATAAGAAGGAAATTTATGATTGCCTGGTAACTAACCACATACTTCAGCCCTTAAAAATATAAGTTGTTTTGTTCCAATACTTTAATTATATTCTCATGTTCATCACTATGCACGGAAATACCAGAAATGTCTAGTCTGGCATACCTTAATCCCCTCATTGTGTAGCAGCAATGTTAACTCCCCAATTAGTCCATTGCCACTACAAATACAATTATGTTTTCATTTTGCATTGGTCCACTGACATGAAGAACCCAAAGTGACTAGCAACAATTGTAATTCTATAAATTTAAGTTTAGTGAATGTCTGAGATTTATGAATTTCTCCTTTGTGACCCCACTGGGAGATGCCATGTACACCTTCACATGTGAAGGAATTAACCCCTTCATCAATGAAATGATTCCCTTTCCCCCACTAACCATGAGTCAAGAACCTAAAAAAGAGATGAGAAGCATGAAATAAAACAAATGGGTCATTGATCATGATAATGGGATTAGTCAGCGCTACATCTCTTTGGTTCTCATAACTGTCTAGTCCAACTTTTTGGAACACAGACCCATCTATGGACCACAGATAGCATATTGTCTCTGAGTTTATCCTCAATATAGGAGGAGGCTCTTCCACAATTATTTTAGGCCAGCTTCTAAATATGGCTACATAGTAAAACCAGTGAGTAAACTAGAGTAAAGCTCCTCCTATGTCCACTATTACATTATTGTATTGTCCCTCATCATCATGCATGTCATATGTCCATTCTGGTACCTTCTTCACCATACAGTCCGTAGGCCTGAGTCAGTGATGTGCAGGTATCATGTTGGTAAAGAAGGCACTCTGTAATTCCTAGATAACATTGCTGCAAAGATATGGGGGACAAGGAAGTCAAGTGTGTATCTAGAGAAAATTTCAGTAAGGAAATTTAAATTTAAATTTAATCTAGGATTAAAGAGTTTAGGTATATTTAGCCTGTCACTATATGGCTAGAGGATTTCCACAAGGAAAAGTATCATATTGAAAGGCCCGGCATTAATCACTGCTATTGGTAGGTTAGGCTTTCAACAAGGTAGAAATAAAGTCACCTTCATGACTTAGAATGCAAGCTTTTGGGTACAAACATAGCCTCTGTTGTTACCGTATTTTCTCTGTTCATGGCCCCATAAGACAAAGTTGGGTGACAAAGGAAAGAAACTAGCTGCCATCAAGGAAAAATCATACAACACATCTGCTTTTTGTTAGCCTTCACTCAGTGTTTGTTGGTGGATATTAGCATAGGATGTTGAGTACAGCAGTGTCGATCTCATCCTAGACAGATACCACACTCAGCAAGCAAGCTACAACTGGGTGTACTGCCAGGTTAAACTCATGGTAATCCTATACTATCTGCCATGATTTCTCTTGCTTTTTCAGGAGTCAGAAGGTGAATTAAATGGATATGGGAGATATGTTGTCTGCAACTATCCCCTAATCGGTCTGATCTGACTTGACTTTCCTTACCATAATGTCTCATTCCACAGAGAACCCATGTGAGGTTTTTCCCAGTTGTTAAATATAATTATTCCACATACCTATTCAAGAACCACAGGGGGAAAAAAACAAAACACACAAGTTGGATTTGTAGATCCACTGAAACAAGCTTAAAGAAACAGTTGAGTCATCTCTGCGCCTGCTTCAATTGATTGCTCTATCTCCTGACAGTGTTTTTTGTTTTTTGTTTTTTTTCTTTTATAAGTCTCATGAATTTTAATTGATTGCTGGACATCATATATAGAAGAACAGAGACTGAGGTAAATAAGATGCTCAGAATATGCAAACCTCTTTTTCTATCAGTATATTTGGGACTGAGTTGGTCTCTTTAGGAACTGAACTAAATTTGTGTTGCTGCTGTTACCTTTAGTGCTCCATAGGTTTCAAATTATTCTAGTAATGATAGTTTTCTAGTGACTAAGCACTGTTATTTCCTATGCTTACAGATGAATCTGGGGGCCCTTTGGTTTTCTTCTTTAGCATTTCTCTGCCACCTTCCTACATTGCTATGCCACAGGTAGGGTACCACATTCTTGCTCCTCCTCCAGAAGTAAAGCGCTCTTGCTTGTTACTTAGTGGTAAGTTCACAGTAAGAGCGGGGTTGGTTATTTGTGGTCCTGGCAGTCTCAGGCTTAGTGCTTAGTTATACTTTGTATTCTTGGACCTCTGGGATGAAGTTTTCTCAGAATTCCTCTCTCTCTTTCTCTTGGAAGCTAAGGATACTCAGATTCATTCATAACATAAGACAGACTTAGATGACTGCCATGATCCCTGCTTCCTGGCATCTATGCCCTGTTTAATCCTTCTCCCTTGAGAGTAGTCACTTGCCTCGTGCCTCTTGTCGCTTGCCTCTAATCAACACACTATGGAAAATATCAGAGCAGTACATCAGGTATACATGGTTACACAGGTAAGACTATAGCACTGGTTTTGCAGGGCCTCGCTTCATGCTGACTTGAGGAAGGAGGTGGTCATAATAGGGAAGCCCACATGACAACAATGAGTCTTCCCTTCCTTGTAATTTACTTTGCAGGCATGTTTTGTTCTGCTTTTTAACAATGAGCACATTAGCATCTGGAAACTGTAACAAGTTCATTGAAATGCAAACAAAGGCTTCTAATCATCTTCAATGACCACCACTCTGGAAGGAATAAGAACACACTAAGAAAGCCTGATATAGAAGGACATATGATTATATTAAGGTACTCTGAACTACCACCATTCGCTATCTCTGTTTAAAGTATAGAAACATATGTTTACTCTTTTAATCAGAGGACTATTTATCAGCTCTCCCTGGTGGCACAATGGGTTAGGCCACGGCACAGTAAGCGAGAAACAGCAGCATCAGTGCAAATTCGATACCACACCTCCGAGGAGATCACATGGCGAGGCAGACCTCTCCTGTCCCAGCTGCTGTTCCCCTAGCAGTGTATGTCGTCGATCAGCCTGTTCTGCTCCCTGCTTTTCTTAGGTGAATCCTCTCACTGCCCCTGCACCTCTGGCTTGTACCCTAGTTCTGTATGCATAAATAAATAAATAAATAAATAAAAAAGTTCTGTTTAAAAAAAAAAAAAGCTAGTTATCAGTGTTGCTATACTTGCTCTTCCAGACCCAATAATAATTCCAACAGAGCTTCTCTAAAGTACAGGAGCAACTGGATTTGCATAATGTTTCTTAATTTTCTGCAAATATAATCTTGATACCTGGGAAGGATTGTGAAAGATAACCCAGAAAAATGATCACTCTCACCCCTTATCCTCTTGACATATTTTGAGAACAAATATATAAACATGATAGAGCACAGGCAATTAATGTGGTCTCTGCCATTTGATGTGTAATTTGCAATAGTGTGTGTTTTCTGGCTGTTGCTATAATGTGGCCCTGTAAATTAGGTCACAGAGGAAGTCAGTGGAAATGGAGATGCACTCTGAGAAGAATGATGTAATATTTTGTGTTCTTGTTGCTGACCAAGACATCCGACTTAAAATAAATGACTTTATGGGTAACAATCTATTATCTAAACCCAGATAAAGGAATTTAAATGTTCACAATTATTAAAATTAGGAAAATAATGTTTCAAATAGTTTAAGTGTATCTAAATATATGCATATCGCATATATACAATCTTTCTAATACATACATTAGGTAGTTGGAAAAGTCATGACACATTTTTCCATGTTTTTCAAACAAAAATTCATCATGACTTTTTTGACAACTCATACTACACATAAAAATAATTCCACACACTGTTTAGGCTTGTGTCTGACCTAAAATAAATATGTTGCCAAAAATAACACTAAAATATTGAACAGAAATTGTTTGCACCTGGAGAATTTAGGTAAAATATACGCACACACAGGAATCAGACATGGGACTGATGAACAACAGAAAGTGGTGTGCATGGATCATATCATTTAAAAAATTTTCATTTGTAGTTGAAACTCATAGGTTTTTCTTCCAACAAATTTCTGTTTTAAAAATTCAGTTATATTTAAAGTGAAACCACTCTTATTATAAATAAATTAAGTAATCAAGAAATCATAACAAGCATCTAGGCAATTGAAGACATTACTAAGAACTCCATAATAATTGATGCCCTGTTAAAGAATATCCCTATTGTCTTTTGCATAGTCTCTGTATAGTAACAAGAAAGAGCAAGAGCAAACATCATAGCTAGAGACAGACACAGAGTTGACTAAATATGTGAAAATGGAAAGCAGCCTGTAGAGCATGGCTTAGGCACTGATAGAGGCTCAAGGCTTGATGTGTGGAGGAGATTCGGAGCTTCGATTATTTTATATTTTAAACTCCTCCCCCTTTCACCAGCATCCATGTCTTACCAGGCACTGTATTATTGTGTCCTTCAGAAGAAACAATACAGGAAAATCTGAGCAAACTTCATGATAGTCCTCAAAAGACAGTAATGAACTAGTTTACCTTCCTCAAGAGCCTGCCCCTCTGACAGAAATAAAGGCCAGTCAAGAGGGAGGTGCAACAGAGAGACACAGAATGACAGACCACCTTGTGATTATTCTAGCAGCCTTTCACCAAATTCTGATATGCTTACCTTTTCCTGAAGCCTAATATTATCCCACACCTTCCTGCACACCATACACTCAAATGCATCGATGTAATTGTCCTGGCTGATGTCTTGTACCCCCCATTTCCGTTCTCTGAGAGCTGTGAGAAGTCGCTGGTTAGAGATGTCACCCTTCAGTTTCCATGCTATGTAGGCCTCGTACAATCTATCATCATAATCCAGTTGTTTGATGTAACTTGCCAGTTCTCTAGGGTGAGAAAATTCTGATACGAGAATAGCACTTCTATTACTTGGAAGCCAGTCCGTGATACTGGGGGATCCATAATAGACAGGGACCACTCCCAGTTTCAGAGGTCTCCAGAACTTCTCAGTGATGTAGTCATCACACACCGCATTCTCAAAAGCCAAGATAAATTTATACTGTGCAATGATCCTATAAAAGCCATCAGAATCCATTGATGCTGGATTTTTCAATGACTGAGGGAGATTTTTGTTTTGTAAACACTCCCCATAAGAATCAACCTCAATGTACATCATCAGCTCTCGAACATAGCTGTCCCTATCTGATGGCGGGTCACAGTCTGACTGTACATACACGAGTGGGGCAAGTCTTTTTCTGAGATTGTTTTTGGACTGCAAAGGGACCAAGTATCGGAGTGACTTTAAGACTTCTATGCCCTCCAAGTATTGGGTGGTTAACGGCAAATGGGAATGCCGGCTGAACGTGGCCGTGTAGTTGAACAAGGTGATGACAGGCTTGTGAAAGAGCTTGTAATTGTTTTTTGGAGACTCTTCATGAAAAAGGGCCCAGTCATGATAGGCTTTCCGAGGGAGAGGTAAGCTGTCGATGTTGAAGTCAGTACCTAGGAGAAGAAAAGAAAATATTACTATGTACAAAAGAATCCTGCTGCTGAAGGTTGAATCCACCTAGAAATATTAGATTGAGGAGTTTGAAGCTACCAGGAGGAAACATTACAGTGTTTGCAAGGTGACTGAAAATCAATCATGAAGCGTTCACCCCAAAAGTGCTCGGAGATAGATCACCAAGTGAAAGAACCTCTTTCTTGTTTGACAGAAAGGAAATGGCAGTAATATGTAGCCAGGTTCCATCACAAGTGGCTTTTCTTTCTGAAGGTGTTGCCTAAGAGAAGACAGAGGAAATAAAGAGAATGACAGTTCTTTAAAAAGACAAGAGCAAGAGAAAGGAAGTCAAAGGGGGAAGTTACTATTCTGACAGATTGATTAAGTGAAAAAAAAAATTGAAATCATGCAAAAGTAGCCAGGACAATATATAGCATAGAATTGTTTTTTAATTCAAAATGATCGATTTCAACAAAGTGCAGTTAATCAATCTTTGTCAAAATGTAGACAAGGGGCTTTTAAAGACAAAGAGCTGATAATGGCACTAAGTTACAGACCACTGTAGGATGGACATGAATTAACAAGTCCATCATGAAATAAAGAAGATATAACAGGATTATAATTATGAGTGATTCTAGCTTCCACAGGATTAATTGGGAAGCCTTTGAAACAAGATAATGTGCAGACAGGAGTGATGGATGTGGTAAAGCAATTGTTTCCTGACTGTGTGGAGGAGATACAATCAGGAAGGTATTTCTATGACTGATAAAAAAGAATTAAGACAATGTAATAATATGGAATACAGAAGTTCTAAAATGTCCCTGACAGGTGATTTTTTGATCCAAAAAAAATTTTTTTTAATATAAAATGGCACTAAAAAAAAGTCCATCTTCCACTGGGGAAGAAAGCACCAAATAAACGCTTTTAACAGAATAAAACGTATTCTCCATTAGAATCATACAAATTAATTATTTAACACTAGTGCACCTCTCTCAAACAAATATATACTCTGCAGTGCCAACAGTACACCAATGAGAAATTAACTAATCAAGAAAGAGGCCTTTAAATAACTGAAGATCAAATAAGATTATGTTGTAGGATGTATACTGAGCAGAGAAAGTACTTCTGTCTTGATAACAGAGTTCTAGTCTCGATGATCAGGAATGAAAGACTAGCATCTAAAAATGGGTGTATACTTGTTTACTTGATATTTACTATATTTGACTTTGAGTATCACAAAGAACACTCATCCACACACCAGAAATTTAATGCCATATTGAATTGGATGGTCAGCAGGAGAGTATGAGGGGCATGAAGAGAAGAGAATGTGATTTTTTTAAAAAAAGGCATTTTATCAAATTGAAGTGGTTGCTATCCAAAAAGGTTCTAGTTTGGTAACATGACCAGTGATGGGAACTGAAACCCATAAACCTCAATTAGACACAGTTTCCACTAAAGACAAAGAGAACCAACGTCCTCTGCGGGGAGAGGAAGAACTAGAGTCCACCTAGGAGTCAGGAGCAGGAATCAAGCTGAAGACTGGAGACTGGAGGGGGGATGGGAAAATCAAAGTAGGTCAAGTGTTAACCGTTGAGATCAGGCCCAGGGCCATTGAGTCACTGACCAAACACCAATGGCTACCTGCTGCTAACTGCTATGTGGGACCTGGGTGATTCTTCCTCTGGCTCATCTGGGGTGCAAAAAGCCAAAATGTAGAGCAAAGAAGCAAGAAGTCACAAGCCCTGCATTTCGCGCTTCAAAGAATGGAGAGGCTTTGACTTTCATCTCTGTGGACCCAGTAAAGCACAGAAGAACTCAAATGATTGTTTCTAAACCTTTTCATGGCCACTTCTAGAGACACTCAGGTTGTGTTAGGAATAAAGTGGGGATTTGAAACAGATACCAGGTCTAACGAACCTTTCATTCATATAACTAGGAGATGAGGCGATAACGGCTTTTCTTACATAACTTTGGTCTAGTTAGAAGAATGGGGAAAAGAGCATGGAGTCCCTCTAAACTGCAATCTGTAGTAGCAAAAAAGCTTGCAAAATCTAAGACTTTATTTAAATGTACTAAAAAGCCATACAGCTTTTCAAAAATGATAGCATGATGCTCTCCCACATCCACATGAATTCTGTTTACTTTGTCCTTTCATAGTAGAGGGTGCTCCTTTAATAGAGAAAGATAAGAGACCTAATGTTCCAGAAACATTTCCCATTCACTGCCACCTCAGAAAGCATTTCCCACTTCATTCCCTAGGGTACATATGCACCATGAAGACATAATATGTGTCTGCATACAGGACCATATTAAAATGGGTTTTCTCTTGGATTCTTCCAATACTAAAATTTCTGTAAAAGATTTCAAAATATATGTTTTGCACAATGCATTCCTAGAGCTTCAGAATACCAAAATAAAAATGATAACAGACCTAAAGTACTTCACTGGGGCTATCACAGGCTAGCGTATGAGAGGGCTCAGTAAGCAGGTACTGAAAGGCATTGGCTGTGGCTCAGGAAATGAGTCATTTCACTCTCCCCAACTCCTGGGCAATCAATCCCACTATAACACAAGTTGAAGGTGGTCTTCAAAGGAATGCACATCAATTCACCTCTGATAAAGCCATACAAAAGTGTCTTGTGTGTAACTGGCTCACTAGATTTATTCTTTTAAACTTATATTGTTTATATTTATGTTTCTGTTTAAAACTGTATTATTGACATAATGCGAATTTACATCACAGTATCTGTCTTAAGGGTATAGATTTCTGCCTCTACAATTGTATGTTATTTTACCACACCCACACTAAAGCCCCAGTAACCCTCCACTAGACGCCCTTCCCTCTCCTCTCTCTCACCACATCCCCCTTCTGGTAGCCTTAGTCATAGTCCAGTGTGCCTTCCCCTACCCCCGTTTGTACCTCCCCATCTCCCTGCCCCTTCACCTCCCTCCTGGATACCTGGGATCTGCAGCTTTCAAGGTTTGTCTTCGTCTGGTCTTTTATTGGATTCTCTTTATTCCACATATAAGCGGAACCATCCAGTATTTATCGTTCCCCTTCTGACTTAACCTGGCTCAGCATAATCCCTTCCAGCTCCATCATTTTGCCACAAATTTATAGTTATCTTCACTGGCTCTTTCATTTAGCAACTTTGGCTTTCATTATATTGAATTTTTTTGTGTTTACTGAATACTGACAAATTTGTTCCTTTAAATAACAGCTGACAAATAGATCTTAAGCTCTAAAGTGCATTGTAAAGGGAACTGTAACTTGGAATACAAATGGGATAAAGTTCATGCTGGCAAACGATGCCAGATTGCTGGCTATGGAGACAATTTGAAATAACAGATAAGCAGACGAGTGACAGTATTTTGAGGTATGTGTTGATGTGTGCCTTTCCCTCTATGGGGCCATGAACTCTTCCTTTATTCCCACATAAGCTGGTGAAAAGAGAAGATAACATGTTTCATCACCCCTACTCTACTGACAAAGTTTGGGTCACTTATCTGGAGCTAAAAGCCTCCAGGATGAAAAAACAAATCACCTCTGGGAGGACCAGAATTTTCTAACTGACTAATGATTAAGGACCAGGGAGATCACTGTCCTGCTGCAACACCAAGTGTGTTGACTGACTCACCCTGTGCACTCCCAATACAGGCACCTTAACATCACCCGGCTTTAACCCAGTGTGCTCAGCAAGACAATATGCCTTAATTTATAAAAGAGAAGGATAGTCCCTAAAATGTCTTACAAAAGCAATCTCTAGTTGTTGTTGTTGTTTTTTTTTTTTTGTCAATTAATTCATTTTCTTACATCATTGTGGCTTTATGTACCATGCTTGATTTCTCCTGTCAGGTGTAGTCCCTGCGACTCCCACCACCACAGCACCCATGATCCATCGTCACAGCCCCTTGTATCCTTCCCTCCTCTGTTTTGACCCTCGTATGCCCCTGCCAGCCTCAGATCTGTGGTCGGTTTGCAAGTTTTGTCTTTTTTCCTCACCTTTGTTGGGTTTCTCTACAGTCCACCTGTAAGTAAAAAGATCTGATATTTTTCTTTATCCTTCTGATTTATTTTGCTTAGCATAATCCCTTCCAACTCCATCCATGTTGCTGCAAATGCCACGAGTTTATCTGCTGTGATTGCTTTAATTTCTTTAAAAAAAAGAAACTCTAGTGCCCCATAAAATATGAGCCCACAAATAAACACCCTAATAGAAAGTGGTAAAATTTTCGAAAGAAAATCAGGCAAGAGGCTGCCTCATCTAACCACTTACATAGTGCATTATTATTTTTAAAGTCTTATCACCTGAATTTTCTCCACTTACCCACACAACTCCATCAGGTCATTTCTCTAAAGTTCTGGTGGTAGCTTGTGAAAAGAACAGTGCTAGTGACTGGGTAGAGGCTCCACTGTCTCAGACTAAGTTCTTTTTGATTTTTTTAAGATTTATTTATTTATGCATACAACCATGTGGATCACCTCCAGGCCGGGAATCAAACTCTGTGCTGAAGAAGCTGCAGCTCGCTTGCAGTGCTGTGCTTTAACCCTTCCCACCACCAGAAAGGGCAAAGGCTAAGTTCTAACCAAAGAAATGAACTACATACACACTCCTGTGGACAGCATGTTTCTAGCCCATTCAGATCAGTTCTGGCAGGTCATCTGACGCAAAACACTTCATGGTATCTTCTTAACCTATATCTACCCTCCTCACCCCTCATATTTCATGAGTCCCCTAACCCACCCTTTAATGGGTCCCATGTCTTATAACCCTCTCTCAGTTACACATATTGAATCTATCCATTCTCCCCTTATGGAAATGTCCCAAGATCCCTTACTGTGCTGTAGGTCAGTCAATGACTTTGCAGGTCCCTTCTTAACAGTACAGGGCCTGAGGCCAGAGTACAAATAGGGATTCCACCTACCACAGGCCTAAATATTTAAATACTTTAAATCAATCTAACAAGCTGTTAAATGTTTTATTCTTCTACCTGCTTATAA